TAAAGTTCCCTATTGCCTCGAAAACCATTGACTAGTCAACAAGTCAACTTTCTTTGGTGTGCGAGCGTGCCATTGTTAGCAATGAAAATCCTAGTAGACTTCTTAAAAATAGATAACTTGCGCCCTAAGTTACTGATTTCTAAACAAGCGATTGTGAATTTGGGTGAGGAATATCTCCAAAGTAAGTTCTTTTCTTGCCTAAGACTAGTGAGGACTTTACAATTTTTCACAGTATAAAAACTGGTAGTTCTGGCCAGAATAAATGATAAGAAAGCAAACTGTTTTAGGCAAGATTGCCTTTTACAAAGCTCAAAAAGGAAAGCCAACTCTAAAAAAGAAAAAAAAAGGGATGGACTTCCATTTCTGCCTGGATAGATGCTTCTGATTCGGGCTAGACTGGGTATGCCTGTGTTGGACCGGACTATCAACACCTTAAACTATCAAGTTTCAGCTGTAAATTGATGTCAACGTTCGAGTTTGGCAGAGCTTTAATCTATTTCAAGCCCTAAAAGGCTTTTTGAACTGGCAGAATTGAGACCTCTTCAATCTGGAAGGGGCAAAAGTGGCTGGACTTGATGATTACTGAGCTGAAGCTGCACTGTGGTACCTGTTCTGCTTGATCACGGCTCTCCATAAATTTGTTGAGGTTTTCATATTTGTAAAACCCGAACTCTGCTTGATTTGGCTTATGTTGAACCAAATTTGTAACGAGAGAAATCTCGTTTTGAATGACTTATTTATCTAAATCTGAACTAAAGTTAGGGATTCTGATTTGTGGCTGACTTCTTTCTTGTGGCTCAATGAGCTTTTGGTTGCTTCAATGTTTTGAAGGTTTTTGAGATCAAGTGATCATTTTGAGTTTTTGTTTATGATTGATTTTTTGGCTGTGTCCCTCTCTGTTCACATTCTCTCATATTTATAGGAAATCCTGGAGTGAGATTTTTAATCTTTTTTAAAATGGGCGGCAAATTTTCTTAAAAAACAATATCTTTTTTTATTATTTTTAAATGTCAAAGAAAGGGGAAGTTATTCTGACAGAGAAGAACCATCAGTAATCAGTTTTCATGGGGGTCTTTTCCTTGCTTTTCTGAAAGAAGAACCAACTCTTCTTTGTTCTATGTTTGTTCTTGGTAAAGAGAAAGAACACATTATGACGTGATGGTCAGTTTGCTTTTCTTGTTTGAACAACTCCTTTGCTTCCCACTTATCTCTTGAGATCGTAGTTTGCTTATCTCTTGGAAAGATCACCTGCTTTGATGCAGAATTATATAGAAAGGGATTCTGATCTTTTGGCTGCAGAGCTTCACATAAGTCTCTCTATAATGACATGCCTTTATTAATTCTCAATCAACTCTCTTGTGATAGTTTAAACTGTTGACTTTTCAAAGTTAGGTAATCACGTGGGTTTGTTTAGAAAAGATCTGTTGACTTGTCTCTGGGCTTTGAGATCAATGGTGAGCATTTTTAGAAGTTGGGCCCAATTCAATTCTCCTTTAGATTTTTATCGATATGCTTTAGTTGGTCAATTGCCATTTTAATTTGGCATTTTTTACAACTCTATCATCCTCGTAAAAGACATGGGCCTCTGGCGTGGATTGGGCTTTGTTTTGGAGTTAAGGCCCGGTCTTTTGTTTTCCTATTCCTGGGGCTTCTTTGTGAAAAGTGGGCTGGCGTGTGAATTCTCTTAGGCCCAAACATTGCCCCCTTAAGTTTGAATCATTTTTAAACTGTTTTAGACTTAATGATTGGCCAATTAATGACGCGCGCCATTTCCTGCCATTGCACTAGCACACGTCTGCCTATTCCATTTTAGGCTTCGTGGGTAAATGGATTTTAATGGCTAATTAAGTCTGAAAACCCCTTTCTTCCCACTCTCCCACGATCTTTCTGTTTCAGTGTATAAAAGATTACTAAACTCCATCACCGTTTATCAAAACCCTAGCTCTGTCTCAGCTTCCATTTCTTTCTAAAAAACCCTATGTTCTTTCTGTTTCGTTCCTTCCAATCCTCCTATGTTCTTGTTTGAATTTTGAAGATGTATTCCCCAAAAACTCGAGCCAAAGGTTCTTCCTCTTCTCGATCCCTTGCTTATCTTATTGGAGACGGAGTTGATCAGCATGCAATCGAAGTTCGCAGCAAGCTCCATCCTTTTACCGAGAAAAATTTGGACAAAAACGTTCTTCACCTTTTCTAGAATACACTCATTCTGGGTACCCATTGGTTTAGCGCATTGCTAAAGGAGATGGTCCATTTGTTCAAGGAGGATGCTGAAGCTCCTCTTTGCCTCCAAAGCTCTTCCGCCCTGGCTTCTCACACTTGGGTTAGTAAGAACTTGAGCCGCTCTTATCCCTCCAGTGAAGTAAGGAATAGTGCAGTGAAGTGGTTAGACTAGATTGATAGACTCCTTCCGAGGTATGGAGATCACTAGAAAAAGGGCTGGGATCTATGACTCTATTTTTTGTCTAAGCAATCTGTGAATAGAGACGAGAATTTGTTGGTTACAGCTCTCTATTTCTGGAATTCCGCCAGCAATACGTTCGATTTTCGTGTGGGCCCTATGACTCCAACCCTGCTGGATATGGCTAAGATCTTTGGGTTTGGGCCTCATGGAAGGCCTGTCGATGATGTTGGTGACTATCACCGAATGAAGAATCAGGAGAAATTGGCCAAGCCTTTCACTATCTCGCATGCCACCACCAACCAGAACTGCTCATTCTCCAACTATCTGAAGAAGTTCAGCACAGAAAGAGATAGAGATCAACAACACATGTTGCTCCTTGAGAAGGTGTTCGAAGTTGAATGTGATGCCAGTGGCGTGGGAGTGGGCGTTGTGCTTTCTCAAGACAAGAGACCAATTGCTTTTTTTTTTTTCTTTTTTTTTTCTGAAAAGTTAATGGACGCTCGTCAAAAGTGGAGTACTTATGACCAAGAATTTTATGCAGTTATTCGTGCTTTGAAACAATGGGAGCATTATCTTATTCAAAAGGAATTTATTTTGTTTACAGATCATCAAGCTTTGAAGTATATTAATAGCCATAAACATATTGATAAAATGCATGCCAGATGGGTAACTTTTTTGTAGAAATTCTCATTCGTTATCAAGCATACTTCTAGTACCTCAAATCGTGTGGCTGACGCATTGAGCATAGGGGCTTCTTTGTTAGTTACTCTTACTCAAGAAATTGTGGGTTGATATGAAGATGATGATAATTTCCAGGAAATATGGGCTAAATGTGTTAATCATGGGCCAATGACAGATTTCTTTCTTAATGAAGGGTATTTGTTCAAGGGCAACCAGTTATGCATTCTTGTTTCCTCCTTAAGGAAGAAGCTCACTGGGGATTTGCACGGAGTTGGGTTGAGTGGCCACGTAGGCCGCGATAAAACGATAGTAGGATTGGAAAAAAGATTTTATTGGCCACAGTTGAACAGTGATGTTGGAACAATTGTGCGCAAATGTTATATTTGTCATGTTTCAAAGGGACAGGTACAAAACACTGGATTATACATGCCTTTACCAATTCCTAATGATATATGGCAGGATCTTGTTATGGATTTTGTCCTTGGTTTGCCTCGAACGTAGAGAAGTGTGGATTCAATTTTTGTGGTGGTTGATCGGTTCTAAAACATGGTGCATTTCATAGCCTGCAAGAAGACTGCTGATGCATCCAATATAGTCAAGCTGTTTTTCAGGGAGGTTGTTCGCTTGCATGGAGTGCCTACATCTATAACTTCTGACTGTGATACAAAATTTTTGAGCCATTTTTGGATCACTTTGTAGAGAATGTTTGGGACTACTTTGAACCGTAGTAGCACTGCCCATCCTTAAACTGACGGCCAGACTGAGGTTACCAATCGAATGTTGGGAAATATGGTGCGAAACATTTGCGGAGAGAAGCCAAAACAATGGGATTATGCACTGCCATTGGTGGAGTTTGCATATAACAGTGCAGTTCATAGTGCAACAAGAAAGTCACCATTTTTCATTGTTTACATTGCTGTGCCTAATCATGTTGTAGATTTGGTGAAGCTACCTAAAGGCCAAAAAACCAGTGTTGTAGGGGGAAAATTGGCTGAAGAAGTGGTGGCTATTCATGATGAAGTGAAGCAAAAACTTGAACAAGCTAATGCTAAGTACAAAGCCGTTGCAGACAAACATATTCGAGTTAGGGTGTTTCAAGAAGGCGACTCTGTGACGGTGTTTCTGAGGAAGGAGAAGTTCCTTGTTGGTACATATAGCAAGCTAAAGCCTAAGAAATATGGTCCTTACAAGGTGCTGAAAATAATCAATGACAATGCCTATGTTATTGAATTACCAGATTCCATGGGAATTTCCAATACTTTTAATGTTGCTGATTTGTATGAGTTTCGTGAAGATGAAACCCTTTATCCTGAACATAACTCGGGGTCGAGTTCTTCGGAGATGGAGGGGACTAATATAGAACAAATGGCTGAATGGATTGAAGAAGAACTGGAGTGAATAAGGGAAAATGGAAGTAGCATGAATTTACAGATTTGGCGTCCGAGCTCCAATTGGGTCGCATAATACGTTCCAAAAGTGTATTTAAAAATTGTATTCAATTTACAGACTTTTCGTTTCTTTTCTGTTACGTTTTCAATAACTCCCCAGGGTAGTCTAATGGGTTGTATTCAATTTTGCAAACTTTTCGTTTCTTTTCTGTTACGTTTTCAGTATCTCCCCAGGGCAGTCCAATGGGTGAGAACATTTTATTTAATCAGCTGTCATGCTTGGTTGAAATCATCCCGATTTTTATCAAATAATTCAAAGAGAATTTTCTCTCTAATTTCCTGGTGGATTCAAGATTATTGTTCTTTAGGATTTTCATTTGAAAATCTATTTGCTTGTGCTACATCACTTTTGAGGTGGATCCTGTCCACTCCAGTGCAATTCATCATAGGCCGGAGGTTCTATACTGGGACATACAAATCATTGCGACATTGTTCGGCTAACATGGACGTGTTAATCACCTTGGGAACAAATGCAGCCTATTTTTACTCAGCCTATGAAAGTGAGAAGCATAATGGTTACAGGTGACAATTGGGGAACTGCAATTGCCAAGGAAGTTGGAATTGAAACCGATATAGCAGAAGCCAAACCTGAGCAGAAAGCAGAGAAAGTGAAGGAATTGCAGGTACATTTTACTAAATTGTTACAACTCAGAAGAGGAAGTTCTTGACTTGCTCCAACGATTTTGAGTTTTGTTCCATGATATCCTTTAGACATCTAACTCTACCATTTTCATGTCAACACCTTAACTAGTCATAGAGCCTAACTCTAAGTCCTGAGTTTGTTTATTTCATTTTAATTTTCTTGTCCATAGGCTTCAGGCTACACTGTGGCAATGGTGGGAGATGGCATCAATGACTCACCAGCACTTGTGGCAGCAGATGTAGGAATGGCAATTGAGGCAGGAACATACATTGCAATTGAGGCAGCTGACATTGTTCTCATGAAGAGCAACTTGGAGGATGTGATAACTGTCATTAACCTTTCCAGAAAAACCTTTTCTTGTATTCGCTTGAACTACATCTGGGCTTTGGGTTATAATGTTCTTGGCATTCCAATAGCTGCAAGGGCCCCTTTTCCATCTACGGGATATCGTTTACCACCATGGATAGTTGGAGCTGCAATGGCAACTTCTTCTATCAATGTTGTTTGCTGCTCTCTGCTATTGAAGAAATACATTGTTCATAGGGCACGATTTTACTTTTTCGTGTCTTAAGCTCAATACTTTTGGGCACGTATATTGCATATATATGAAAATATCAATTACTATTTTTTATTTGACTTTTGTATATATGCACAAAATATTCATCCTTGCCCAATGTATTTACTTTTTTGAAAAGAAAAAAAATATTAGGGTTGCTAACCACAGCCACCTCTTACATCCCCGCACCATCCAAATTCACCACTGCCACTTCCTCCTTCTCTTTCTCTACAACTGCCACTTTCTCTCTCTTTCAAGTAATGCAAAACACAATGAGCTCACTATATTAAATTAAAATTTTCAACCAAACTCGTGCAAATAAATACAGAATTAGATTTAAGAATTGGGTATAAATAAAAATTATGCAAATACACAATTAGCTCACTGAAATTAAAGCCCTAAATCCTAAACCCTAAATTAAAATTGTCAACATCTTCTTACTTACCATCTTTCAATATGGTCAAAGAAAAATCACTTTGTCTTACAATTGGAACAGTGAATAACTATGAACTTGTTAGGCTTGTCCTATAAAACGCAAACTTTTCATTTTCGTTCATTTCACAAAGAATGTATTCGACCATTCATAAGAAGAAAGGGAGGATGGGAGAAGAGAAGGGGGAAGAGAGAGAGAGAGAGAGAGAGAGAGAGAGAGAGAGAGAATGAATCAAATTTAAGATATTACCTCTTTCGATTTACAATTGTTCATGGGATTATTGGAATCATTGTCTCCATCTGATCAATCTCTTCGAATTTTCTTATTCTTGGTCCAAAATATATTATTCAGCTGCTCCAAGTGCTTTTCACAGTGGGGATGCTGTGGTTGGGGAGGACGGTGGGAAGGATGAGGAAGATGGGGAGATAAGGGAGACATCGGTGTTGATGCCCAAAAAATCCAATGCTAGGCCCAAATATATTTCTAACATAGTACAACACTAAACTGGGGAAGAAGCCCGACTGGGATACGCAAGAATTTATCGTCTAAGCTTGGACAAGTTACGGTCCACGTGCCACGGCAAGCAAATACGCAACCCGCGAAGCAGAAAGGTCGTAACAAAGCCCGTAAAATGTGTTGGCTCTATGAACCTGCACTTATTATCCCGTTGAGTTTCATTTGGCCCCGCTATATCCCATTACAATACGGCAAAGCTTGAGCACAAGCACACAAATAACATGCAAAGCTAAGTGGAAGACCTTTATCTTGGCACCAAACCACGCTACAGGCTTAAGTGGGCCCAAGCCATGAGAATGCCTAGGGCTTGCTGAGTAGGTTGTGGTATGGATGGTCACGAGTATTCACGAGAACCGTTGATTGACCAAGGAGTGGAAGTATTAGGTTGCTTGGGAGCACCAAAGCCCAGTCCCATTTCTTGGGCCCAAACATATGGGTATGTATGAGAGAGAAAACCCAATACCTTAGGAAAATATCCAATGGCCTACAGCACTTGGAAATATACCACATCAGTCAAAATATCTGGCACCTTGTCAAAACCAAAGCAAATCCATGCAGATAGGCTGCTTCCAGCAGCTTGATGAAACCAAGGCAAACTTACAGGCCGTTGGAAGTAAAACACCAATGACCCATCACTTTACAACATCGTGGAAAATATCCATCAACCTCGAAAATACCTCAGCCAAATGAAACCCAAGTTAAAGACAAGCCATCGCAAAAACCAAAGGGAATCCATGTGCGCATGCTGCTGGAGGTGAAATACCCTTCATACCAATGCCCTTACCCATTTTTATTTATTCTGCAAGCTCTAGAAAGAAAACCAGGAAGAAAAGTATTGGGCGCCTCATCCACATGAAGGAGTTTAGCCGCATGAAAGTCTTGGAACTCCAAAAAGCTCCACTCCTATGCGCTCAAATTGGACAGGTTTCACTAAATAGGATTGAATGGAAGAAAGTGAAGGAAAATGGAGAGGATGACTTGGTAAAATTTGGGGTTCCAACGAATATAAAAGGATGCACCTTCTACCCAGCAAGGCATCCATCCAAGAGCGCGACCAAGCTTTTGTCAAGCAGCTAGAAATTTACTCAAACCACCCATCCTTTATTTCTATTTCTCCCTCCCTTCCCTCATCAAAATCTTCCCAAATTTCATTCTCCGCTTGCTCTGAACCTTTGTTTCCATAAGAAATCCAAGCTCTTTCTCTCTACTGCTAGACTCATGAAGACTTAGCTCCCATGCCACAAGCTTCTCAAGCCAAGTCATAATACTAATTTGTCATGGTCGTTTGATTTATTGGTGAAAGGAACAAAAGTGTTTTCTAAGGTAGAGGGGCAAGTTCATCCGTCCTCTCTTTGCAGAAGCCTAAGCCCATTCGTCAAGCTGTTGGAACAAAAAAGTCCCCTCCAAGTGGTAAAATCAAAGGAGGAGAAGAATAAAGGAGGCTCATTTTGGGTTTCTAGAGATAAGAGTTATGATCTTGGGGAAAACAAAGGGTGAAGGAGGAGTATGGGGGAAGGCAAAAAGAGGAGAAGATATATTTTTGTTTTTCCCTAAAATGAGGAGTTGATAAATAGAATAAATTATTATTTTTAAAATTATATAAAACCTGAAGGCACAGAAAAATTTGTCATGTCCTATGAAAAGCACAATTAATCATACTTTTAAACTATAATAATTACTCTCATTGATAGCGATGTGACAAGATGGAAGTTGATATTAGCATTGGACACAAAGGTCGTGCCCAAATTTCAGTAGGCACAAATAAATTTGTTCTTAAACACACATTTACTGTGTCTTTTGTGTAAAAGAAATCTTTAAGTATTTTTTTCTTTTGTGCTAAATGAGAAACAAATGGGAAAAAAAGCATTTCCAATTGGTTTAAAATTTCCCCAAAAAAAAAAAAAAAAAAAAAAAAAAAAAACCAAACTATTACACTTATGGGGGACTAGAAAGTCCATCAGAAACTAGTACCCGCACCAAGGACGGAGGTGGCTGGTTAGCCCATCCTTGCGGAAACACCGCCCTTAAATCTATCGCTGCAATCACATGGGGCGTACAATTTGCTCCACAAGGGATCCAACACCATTCCACATCAGAGAATCCTTCTTCCGTGCTCTTTGAAGTGTGCCTTCAGAGCAGTTTTGTAGTAGTGAGGAGTAACAAAAAATGGGTATGGATAAAAAAAATTGACTTATTTTCAAATCAGAAATAGTTTCAAGTAATCATCACATCACATGTACATACTTTGAAATTATAAAATGTTATCTTGAAGTAAGATTTTTCTTTCTTATTTATTATTGTGTTTTATACCAAACCGGAAATTATGATTAACATATGAATTGCACATCATATCGAATGAGCATTTAGTGTGAGAATAATGATGGCATTACATTTCATTATAAATTATCAAAATATATTATCTTTCTCTGAGTTGTGTAATATGTAGAATGAGTGTTACTTCTTTTCAGCTTTTTGTGAGCACATGTGCATTGTTAATTGAATGATCATGTGTATTTAGCATGATGTTGATCGAAGAATTATGAGTATTTTTTATTTTTATTTCTAAATTACATCTTGAAAGCCAATAATTTTTATTTTTATTTCTAAATTGTGTGGAGTTATCACATAGGCTTATTTACTATAGTACCTCTTGAAACTTCAGTCAAATCTCACTTATTACACCCTCCCCCCGCCCCTTCTCCGAAAAAAAAAAGTTAAAATGACCCACTTAACCCCTTTAACCGTGATTTTGTGTTCCACTTTACCCTCACCATTAACGCCATCCAAAAGACCGTAAAAAACGCTGATGTGGTCATTTGGTGTGTATAGTTAGCGTCCTACGTGGCAAAGTGGACCCCACATGCTTCTAAAATCAAAATTAATAAAAATTCTTTACTTTTAAGTAGAGCTCATGTGTCCAATGTCATTGTGCCACGTAGATTTGAATAAATAAAAATAATAATAAAAATCTGTGACTTCCACCCATCCCCATCCCCCTCCATCTCTCTCTGTTCTTTCTCTCTCCCTCTCCCTTTGTTCTCTTTCTCATCTGAGAAGGTCTTCGGGTCCAAACCGATGGGAGAGCAAATGGATAAGCGGGTTGAACCCACACACCATATGTGTTCCTTCGTCTCTCCTAAAACCCTTTCGTTTTCTCATAATATTTCACCTAAAGCTTTAATCTTTTGTGGGTAAATGGGATGTTGGACCAAAATATCAAACTGAAGCTCTTTCCCAGCAAAAATGTAAGATCAGTACCCCAATTATTAAAAAAAAAAAGAAAAAAAAGAAAAAAAAAAAGAGCTTCTTTTAAAGAAATTGCAAATGGGTTCTTTGGCTCTCCATGTCCTTGTACTTCTTCAACTCCTACCCCATCATCAATCACTCCAATCAGAACAACAACAAACCCACCTCCCTTTCCAAAACCCATTTCTCAAGTGTATCCACAACCAATAACATCACACAAAAACAAGGTTAATAACCCAATTTCTTTAATAATAATAAATAAATAAAACACACCTTTTTCTTTTTCTAAGTTTTAGATTCAGATTGGATTAATGTTGGTGACTAGGAACAAGCATCTTTGATGGATTAGTTGTTGGATGATTTTTATTATTGAGGGAGAGGGTGATGATTAGGGGAGAGGAGAGTAGGCTGGGCTGGGAGGGATGGTGGTGGTTATGTAGAGAAGATGGTTACTGCTACATTTTATTTATTTATTTATCTAGGCTCTTATAAATATTTTTTTTAATTATTTTAAAAGACTAAGAATATTTTATTATGTTGTGGACTCCTTTTGCCACATTATCCACTCAAATTGGTGGGTAAATAAGCCACAAATATGAAATTACTTAAACACCCTTGCCATGTCAGCATTTTTGACGGTCTTTTGGATGGCGTTAATGGTGGGGGGTAAAGTGGAATACAAAATCACGGTCAAGGGAGTTAAGTGGGCTACTTTAACTTTAGGAGGGTAAAGTGAGATTTGACCGAAGTTTTAGGGGTACTACAGTAAATACGCCTATCACATATTTGTATTTACATTTCATTTTTCTTTGGCCAATAT